TAGAACCCCTACGTAACTAAAAGAAAGTAGAGAAAAAAAAAAGTAGAACTAGAATAAACCAAATAGAGAAGAGATCGATAAAGAAGAAATCATAAGAAGAGGTTTTTTTTTAGTTTTTTGTTGAAGAAAGAGATGGCAAAATCGGCCAAGGATCGACAAGAGCCAAAAATTTGTATGATTTGGCTAATGCTCTTATACCATGATAGATTTGGAGAGAACCTTAGTAGTATAATAGTTTCTCTCGGTCTTATTGATTAGCCAATAGACTTATTTATATAAGAATATAACTTGTCTACCAAGTTCTTTACATATATGTAGTACGAAATATAACTTAAACACAAATATTAACTTTTATTTTCAACTCGATCTCGTAATCTCCGAGATATCCTAAAATATATCTTTGTAAGGAAAAGATCACTCAACCTCAATCACCTTACCAGTCAACCATTCGCCACCGTTTTCCATTTTGGGTCGCATCTGATCTTGTCCAAACTACGTCGATTCATTTCAGTCCACACCTATATAAACATTTCTTAATGAGAGTTAAACCTTGAGTTTCAATCTAGCCCCTTCATCCTTTATTTTTTTGTTAGGACTCTTTGGATCTATAACTCTTTCTATGAAGACGACTATATATTTTCATGTAATTTAGTCCTTTCCATATTCGTATGATTATGTCTGGCTTTTCCTTTGTGTTTTGCTTTACCATGTTGATTAGTAAGTAGTCTCTTTTATAGATAATGTATTAGATAGATTACTATGGTTATTGATTGATTCAAGAATCTTAAGTATAGATCTTGATGTGTTGTCGAGTTTTACCTCTCAACTAACTACCTACAAGTGCACAACAATCACAATTAGTATAGCTAAGGGATCGTATCCACTAAGCTAGAACAAGATATTTTTGTCGTTTTTGTGATTGAGAATAAAGTAAGTAACGAATGTAAATTGTAATGAAAATCAATAAAAGAAAAGCGCTAGGACATATGTATTTCGCAGATAATCATGTAACAATAAAGATTGATTGATTNTAGGGATTTGGGAATTATGAACCGTCTAGAACACAAAGCACTGATTTAAGGTCATCCCACTGTCGTGACGTAACTAACCATCTACGTTTTAGCACCCTAATAGACTCAACTGTCGCAGGTTATTACAAGCTGAAAACATGCATTAAAGTTCAAGTTTGATAAAGTTCAACTAACATTTCGAATTGTTAA